GGGAGTCTGGGTCCATAGCCAGCCTCCAACCCGGTCCCGGCCCCGGACCCCGATACCAAAAATATTACCCGCAAAGAAATAAAATGGCAAAACTAAAATAGCAAAATAAAAATAAAACCGATGCGGTTGGGGAGGGGAAGCAGGACCTATCGACACTCCCCTGGCCCTGCCTAGTGGGCCCGTCATCGGACTCCCCCAACAAAACTAAGGGGGATAGTCCCGAGGGACCCTCAACCCCTCAGCCCTTCCGCCGCTCCACCGTTCCCATGTTGCCACCGGCTGATCTCGATCCCCGCACCTTTGTAACAATAGTCCAGTGTCGTAACCTATAGGGCTAAGCCTAACCCTGAGATCAGCAGGCGCCGAATCACATATAAAGTGGTGCAGCGTCGCGCCTGGGCCCAAGAACACCGCTTAGGCCACGTCTTCTCCTGCGCCCAAGCGTGCAACCGTCAGACTTCCGCGCCAGCATGCGCAACTGTACCACAACTGTCACGGGCGCCTCCCTGCGCGTCAACCTACCGCCAGTTAGACAGACAACACAACGAGACTTTCAAGCTCATATTCTATTTTTAGCAATCAAAAAAAAAAAATCAAGCCGGTCAGCCATCGCCGCCATCATAATCAAAGAAATCAAGTGATCACACGCGCGTCTTGAAACTTACGCGCCCACACCCTCTTTGCTCTAGTCAAACATCCATTCAACATAACCTACAGACACTACCGCGACCCGCACGGTATACTCAAACCTTACTCTAAACTGGACTTACTTTCTGTCATTTGCAAAAACCAGGGCGGATACCCTTGTCAGGGTATTCGCGCTGACAACGCTCTAAGTAGAAGAGTCGATTACTTTGGACCGATAGTACACTACATGGACATAGGGAAAGACCTGCAACAAAAAGTCAAAAAGGCGTATGTGGACAACCCTATTTATAGCGACCTGCCTCAAGAGAGTTAAGAAGTCCCCATAGTGTGAACCAGATTACCGCACTACAGATGGTTGTTATTTGAGAGGACTAACGTAGCTGATCGACTATGCGATCCCAACAGTGAGGAGATCCGTAGTTTGATCCTAGGGGAGTGCCACGACACAGAGGGACACTTCGGTTGGCAGAAGACATTAGCCAACCTCGCTCGCGCATATACATGACCTGGCATGAAGGCTGACTGCATAGAGTATGTGTGCAGTTGTAAAGTATGCTAGAGGAATAAGACCACTACGCGAGCCCCTCTTGGTCTTCTCAGACCCTTGCCTATTCCCGCAGGACCCGAAGATTTTGTGTCCATCCATTTCATGGACGCTGGGGTCAAGAGTAGGCATGGCAAGAGCTAGGTCATGGTTATAGTTGATAGGTTTAGTAAGTATGAAGTTGTTGTTCCTTTGCCTTTAGAGGCACGTACAAATCTAGTAATAGAGAAGTTTTTTGATCATTGGGTCAGTGAACATGGTCTACCGCTGTCCATAGTTAGTGACAAAGATACCAGGTTCCCTAGTCAGAACTGGCAGGAGCTGATGAGAGTCTATGGCTGTAAGTTGCTAATGCCATCTGGCCGTCATCCAGAGACTAGCGGTCAGACTAAACAGATAAACAAGATCCTGCAGCAAGTTCTCATAATGTATATTAGACCTAATCAAGTCAACTGGGATGAGATGCTCCCAAAGGTAGCCAGTGCATACAACAACAATGTGCATTTAGCAACCCGTCGCACTTTCAACAAATTGCATAAATCCTTTTAACCGCTTAGACCGTTTGAGGGATTGAACCGGGATCAGATCCAGAGGCTACCACCCGGTACTAGGGAGTTTGCACTACAGCACGAGAAAGAGATTGCTACCGTGATGGAGAACCTCGGGAAGGCCCAGCATAAGATGATAGAGAAAGCCAACAAACACCGTCACCCATCGCAGTTCCAGGTAGGCGACCTAGTTTGGGTCAAGTCCAAAGAGTTTGCTCCTGAGGAGAACATCTCACAGAAACTATTACCTGCTTATAGAGGACCGTGGCCAGGCCTAGAAGTCAAGGTCAGAGAGGATGGACCGTCCATGACTTAGGTCCATGATCCCTCTGGATATGGACGGAAGGTACGACATTGATAACATAGTAGGTGAGGATGTATTCAGAACAGGAGGTAGAGGTCGTCCACAAAAACAGTACAAAGTCAGATTTTCTTATCAAGAACCGGAAGACGACCGCTGGTTTACCCGAACAGAGAAACAGTACAAAGTCAGATTTTCTTATCAAGAACCGGAAGACGACCGCTGCTTTACCCGAACAGAGCTTCTAGAGACTGCTCTCGATATAGTTCGAGCCTATGAGAGAGATAAGGAAGGTAGAGGTCCTGCCTTGGACTGAAATATTCTCGGAGGACCTCGAATTTAGGACGGCAGGAGTGAAACGGCTTTCACCTTCGTGGTAGCAGATGAAGATCCCAGGGCTCGATCCCTACACCTGCCCCGAACCCGTGTACAGTACAGTTTGCCCCATCTAAGTTTGAACTCGTGACCTGCCCCTAAAAGTTGTCTGTTTAAGGCTGTTGTACATATGAGGGTTGAGTAGGTTCGAGCTGCTTACCTGTAGGATAGGAGTCGTCGCTTATGTCTGGTCGTAACTGCTGTAGGTCTGAAGGGTCAACCTTAGCCGTAGCTGCTACAGTACCGAAGGGCAAGTAGGAAAGTCTTCTAAGACTGGCCCTTCAAGAGTATTGAAAGCAGTCCGTAGGCAAGTGGGCAAGTGGGCAGACTTAGCAGGTCCAGTCAGCGGTGCCCAGTCCCAGTCGCACCTTGTCAAGTCAGCAAGTACCATGTGGGACTGTGTGCACCCTAGGCCCGGTGGAAAGGAGCAGACCAGCGACCAACCGAAGTATATATCAAGAGGCAGCGTCCAGTTATTCATTCATTCAGACTGTGAGCCGTGCGGAAGCGCTGCCTTAGCGACTTGTGCAAGGAGGTCTGCAGGAGCCCGACGGAGAAGTGGGCTGTTAGGAAGACGAAGCGGCCATACCCGCTAGTTAGTGGGTGAGGTAGAAAGCAGCCATAGCTGCTCGTGGTTAGAGGTAGGCTATAACATGTATGTGTGTGTGTGAGTGTTCAGCGAAGTGTGTGCGTGTGTGGGACATCCAGGAGATCCAGAGTAGCGTGCGTGTAAACAGTTGTTGAGGATACAGTGGCGGAAGGGTGATGTGAGGGTATGCAGGCGCCATAGCCATTCGAAGCAATTTGAATCTGAACTGTGTTCTTGGCCGTGATATCTCTGAGTTTTGTGTGGGTGCCTGGCGCCAGTGCGATTGCCATCTGTTTTTTCATGACGAGTCTGCTTGCACCTCCCCCATACTCCTATAGACCTCCGCCTTCTATCCCTTTCCCTCCACCCTCCCCTCCACTCCCTTTGTGCTACTAACAAATACATACGAATGAGCATCGTTAAGAGAACAGACGATATGAAGATCAGAAATGAAATGAACGGAAGTATGAAGATGAAGGACGGACACAAAGACTGTATAAGCTGAAGATCTGAAGTGAAATGAACAGGAGTATGAAGCTCTGAAGAGAATTGCATAGGAGCATACCTTCCCTTTTACTCTGCCTCCTGAAATAACAAGCAACTGGGTCGTGAAGGCACACGGGGATGTGGGCAGCTGCCGCTCAACCACAGTGGGCAGCCTTGTTCGTAAGAGACAGTAAAAGGAGAGCTGCAAGAACAATGGAAGGGGTACCCCAAGGACAACATGAAACTGTCTAATTATAAAATTGCTTTAATATGTTGACTGTGACTGTCTCATCTCAAATGCTCTCGTTGTCTGCAGTAGGACAAAGACTGCTTTGATTCTGAATCTATTCATCTGGGTGGAATTGGGGCTGTTGCGGGGAAAATCTATAACACACACACGACCACAATCAACGTGGGCAGCCTTGCACGTGCGAGGCATAGTAAAAGAGGAGCTGTTGCCCCAAAGAAACCCCAGCAGCACAGTTCTGAATGGTTCTATTATGATTCATGTTGTTTGCTAAAGAGGTGAAATTGACAAATTGTTTAATTGTTGGGCTGTCTCAACACGAATCTACTCATCTGGGTGGAATAGGGGATGTTCTGGTGGAAATTTAAAAAACACACATGCGAACACACGAACACAAAATTCAAAACACTCACACACATACACAACCTCCTGATGAGGACGAGACTGTCTGGCACAGTCATGCCGTTTTGTGTGGAGTCGTGTATAGCGAACATGACAATGCACACACATGCACACGGGGGTGTGGGCAGCTGGCGCTCAACCATCATCAACATGGCCAGCCTTGTATGCCAGAGGCGTAGTAAGAGGGGAGCTGCGAGCACAAATAAAAGGGGAGACCCCGCAAAGATAGCTGAGGTAAACATAATCAGTAAAACGATATAATGGATCTATTGCGTTTCATATTGGTAACTGTTTCGTTGTTGGGTTGGCTCATCTCAAGTGTGTTGCTTCGCTTGTGTAATGGTGGATTTGCTCATCTTAAGCATGCTTCATCATCTGCAATAGAGGTAAAGTTGCTGTGATTTTGGATCTACTCATCTGGGTGGAACAGGGGATGTTGTGGTGAAAATTCATAACACATACGCACACAAATTGGCAACCACTCATGCAAACACAGGGTACAGTGGTTCTCGAGTAATCGCCCATCTCACTTATGTCCCACACAGAATCTTACTCTAGTGAGGACATAATCTTGAGGTATTGATTCTGTCACGTCCTGAGTATTCTTTTCAAGGTTGTGGCAGCCTTGGAGAAAGTCCTGTGATGGAACCTTATCCCTGGTTTCTTTCTGTTCTTGTTTCTGCTTGCATGGACGATAGATAGATTGTGCTGATATGTACATGGATAAGAGATCATGCAACGTTAGATGCCGCATAGAAGGGTAGTGAAACAGGTGTTGCTTAGCTGTCAGGAGTGAAACACGTGACGCAGGGCTACCCCCGATCTGACTTGTTTTCAATTATTGTTAGCTTCTATTGCAGAGCGGAATGGTGATGGAAGCGAGGCACCGAAGAAACCAAGAGTTTGGTCACGAGTTTGCGATGGTGCAGAGTTGGTTACTGGGCAGGTGGCAGGGTTACAGCTGAGCACAAAGCACCCCCGGCACAAGGATGGTTGCAGTTGCATTGTCTGCATTCAGCCACCAAGCGGGCAGGGCCCAAAGCATAAACCGCACTGCCAGTGTGCAGTATGCTCAACAGTGAGAAGGAGGTTCAAGACGTTGATGTCAAGGAAAAAAAAGCTCTGTCAACAGCCAACACAAGTGCCCACTCAGAAAAGGAAGCAGGTGCGGAGCGAAAGGCTGAGAGCAGAGAGAGTTTCTGCCAGTCGCAGGGTGGCCATGAATCGTCCTGGCAGTGTCCATGCAGTGGAATCGAGTGCCAAAGATGTTACGCTCACGGTGGGAAGAGTTGCAGGCAAGGTGAAGACACCTTTGGCAATACATCCACCGAGTGTGAGGCACTGTGCCTCTGCAGATGGTTTGCTGGAAACCTTGGCTGATTATAGCCAGGGACTCCTTGCAAGTATGCGTAGTCGACAACCTGGTTGTATCAATACAGTGAATGCAAAGATCTGCAAGGATAACAGCCGAGCTGCAACGATATCATCTCCCAGTGAAATGAAAGAAATGGCAATCTCGATCTGGAGTCTGCAGAGTGGAGGAGGTGCAGCGGCTGCTACCACAGTTGGAGCTCATGCATCTGGAAAGGTTGGCAGCAGCAGCCCATATGGGCCTAGCACTGATTATGCAGTCCACGCACCTGATGGTGGAAGCGTAGGCAGTTCAGCTCGAATTGGTGTTCCATCAGGCACAGTGTCGATTTCATCCGGGACACTTTCTTGTGGTAGAGGCATTGTTTCAGCTCTTGCTGCTCCCAGTGTCAGTGCAGGTGGTTGTCGTTCCAGTGATGGCAATGGAGCTATGCAGAGGAGTGAGCGTTGCCTCATCGACCTGAATGAGCAGCCTGCCACTGAGTCTTCCCCAGCTGATCAAGAACATAGTTCATGCCTTGTTTTGGAAGAAGCAGACCTCGACGCGGGCGATTGTCAGCAAATGACTCCAAGCAAGGAGTTGAGTGCCTTTCTGACTTCCCCAGCACATGGAGCAGATGGGGATGCACAATTGCCAACCCAACCCACGGAACATGAGAAACCGATGGCAGTAGATGGAGGAGGAGATGCTGTGGGAGGTGGCGAAGCAGGTGACGCGGGGAAGCCAGGAGGAGGCGGTTCTCGTGATGGGAGCGAAGGTGGCAGTAGGAGCGTCGTCAACGGCTGTCATGTAGGCAGTGGTGATATTGATGTCGGAGAAGTTGGAGCACGGGCTGAGGACACTGTTGCAGGTACGCAGCAGTCCAGTCTACACTCTCTGCCACAACAGAATGGCATGGCACCTCAGTCAGGTTTTGCAGAGGAAGATCAAGCCTTCGTAGGGGATGAGGCTCGCCTCTGTAGGAAGGAAAACCTGCCACCGGCAAAGCATATGAATGGAACAAGTCAGAATGGGGTGGCAAGGTCGGAGCCAGAAGTTAACGGGTTGTCTATGGCGATGCTGAAGGACTGGGCAAGTGAGTCCGTGGATGGTGTGATGGGGTTGTCCATCACAATGCTGAAGGACAGGACCAGTGGGTCGATGGACGGTGTGAGGTCAGGCATGTCTGAAGACTTTCCCGAGTCCCAGCTGCTTCACCAGGCAGACAGCTCAGCCACTGGGGGTGCCCAGGTGGGTGTTTCTAAGAAGAAACTTGGTGTGGGAAAGGGAAAGCAGATGTGCAATGGCTGCGGCGATGTTGTAGGCTCTGCTGCAAAGGTAAGCACAAACTTTGAAGAACCCTTTGTGTAGTCTAGGCGCAATAGAACTTTGAATTGTCTGACTACCGGGATGGATTCTCTGTATCAGGCAGTGTAAGATAACCGAAAGAAGATTAGCATGGCCCCTGCACAAGGATGACATGCATAAATCGTCCGAATTAAAAAAATGAAAATCAAAACCAAACAGAACAAAAAGATAACCAAAAGAAGAGAGCTATGTGATGAGCTATCCCAAGCACATTAATGATTATGTCAGTTGGACCTGCCATCCCACTCTTTACATATTCAACATTGAACTTTCCTTTGAAAATAAGTACGAAAGGTGAGCCAAATTTGTGTGAAGAGAGGGCCTTGGTGTGTGAATACGAGCCTCGAGTTTTACTCAAACAGGCAGGATGAAAAACACTAAAGCTAAGATAATGCAGCTTGCAATAACTCTGTGCTTGAAAGTTGAAACATAGCCTTTTTTTTGCTTTTCTCTTTTGAAAAGTTTCCATTATCTTTATAAAAAAAAGAAGTAACATTTTGTTATAACAATCAGAACAGGAGGCCGTGAAACCCTCCACAAACAACCTGGAGAACTGGGGCCATTACCCAGCTTAGGCTTGCACTGGAAACCGTGTCCAGTGGCCCAATCAAACTGGTACTTCCGTAGGAAGCACAGCCTGGACCAGCTAAACAAACACAACCGTAGCCAACTACACCACAGAAGTGCGCGAGGGAGGGTCTATCCTCTGAGTTGTGTATCCTAGCCAGCAATCGAAGGTCATCCTCAGCAGAAAGTCAACATCCTCCTTTCAGATCTCCCGTCGTCAATAATAAGGGTTCTTACTAACCCTTTTCTGGTTCCCCCAACCTCAGCGCATAATCTCAAACTGCTTGCACAGAGTGGCCTGCTAAAACCCTAAACCCTTGAGGGGTGTCGGCTATCGCTTGGCAGAGGGGCAACCCGGAAGACCCCGAGGTGGTGGCTGGCCGGTACGAGTGTCCATTGCCGGCCCTTGCACACCACAATACCGCTGTGTGTCTTGTGCCGTTCGTCCCCATCCGTCTCTCTACCCTGAAATTTGTTGGCTGTGCGCTGCTTGCAAAGAACTGAGATCAGAGTGGGGGGTCTCAAGGTTATTGTCAAAGATCCAGCCCTGGTACTCTGGATGTTTCACATACCACACTCCCACTTTGCCCTCGCACTCCACAAGCTAAGATTGGTTAATTGATTGCCTTCGTCCTGTTGAACGGTTTGCTGGACAGTTGGGGTTGATCCCTATATGACCACTTCCCCTGCACCGAAAACAGGTGGGTTGGTTTTGGTTGAGACAAAAACTGTTATTCTTTGCCCATTTTACGGGATGACCACGTGTTCGGGAAAGATGGTGGCTCTCCTGAAGGTACGCTCAGGCATGCAATACGTGAGTCATGATTTGGGCCAAGGAAGTTGGGTCGCGCCTCCAGCCATGCCATCACCGGGTTGTTCTGGTACTCCGATTCCAGATGTTTTTGGATCATGGTATGCAGCCCTTTCAATAGATTGTCGAATTCAACCCAAAAATGGCTGCGCAGCATGTTCTGGCGGTATCTCGTGGCTTCTCTGGGGAGCTCTGGTGGCTTCCATGGACTTAGCATGACGACCGACCCTTTGCAGTTCAAGGAATCAAAGGATTTAAGATATTTGGCGTAGCTCGCTTCCAGACACAAGATCGTTACTGTATTTCTTCCTCATTTGTGAACGGGGATGTCGGGCTCTGTGTCTGGTAAGGATTGCAGCGCTTTGAGTCTGTCGAACACCCATGCCCGCTTGTCATTGAGTGATAGTTTTTTACTCTTGTGTCACAAGTGTGAGAAATTGAACAAGCCCGTGTGCTTTTCGTAGAGGGAGTTGATTTCTTCCAAGTGCTCCTCAGGGTATTCCCATACATGTACCTCGGTTCCGTCGTCTTCATCGGCGCTCAGTTTTTCCTTGAGGATTTTAACCTCGGAATTGATCCGGGTGCAGTAACTCTGTTCAGAAGTAGCCTGGGGCCCAGAACTCAGCCCCAGGCCACGCAGCCCTGAGAAGGTCTGCGCTGGGCTGTGTGACCAAGACACGCCCAGGCCTGAGTCTGTCGTGTGTGGCTGTCTGACCAAACACTGCACGCAGGAAATTCAAGAGTCAAAGTCAACTGTCGAGTCAAAGGTACAGAACCCAGGCCCTGGGATGGATACACTCACTTGTTGTGCGCAGGTACCCAGACAGCATCCAGGCCGGAGGGAATTCGGTTTCGGGCCGATCTGAGCCCTCATTTGCATTGAGATCTGGACGGCCGAGGGATACAGCATCCAGGGTCCAGACCCCGCGTCAACACTACATAAGAGTTGACTTCCTGTCTTTGACATTCATTCATTCTGTCTTGCGTTGACGCTGACTCTACGCGTTGACGACGCGACGCAGGCTTGATGCTGCGACGCTGGTGGACGCTGGCATAGTGCTGGCATTGGTGAGACTGTGGAGACGCGCTGCTGGCCGGTATGGTGACTGACTGGCTACTGTCTATGAGGCATGCTGACGTGGCAGCTGCCACGCGTTGTTGCTGACGTGGCTGCTGCCACGTGTCATGTAGCCGGGTCTTTGTGACCGGTTCTGCTGTTCTTCGTTTCGGCACTTCAGGAAGAGATCAGGACTGTTCATCGTCACTTCAGGAGGAGATCAGGACTGTGTGGAGGTTGTGGATACGTACCTGTGATCTTCATGTTGACATTGCTCCAGCGCTGATTGGGGTCTGATTAGATGCCACGTGGCACATTGTAGAAGGACTTCGATTATGTGTTCAGATTACTGGTTCTGTGAGGTGGCAATTGTGTAGGGAGCCCGGAGAAGGAGTGGGCCTTGTATCTTCCTCTCCTTTGTCTCATCTCCCTCCTCCCTCTTTGTCTGTGTATGGTTATCTCACCTCTTTCTTTCTGGACACTATTCGATTATTGGAAATTATCAGCGACTTCAGATTCTGGACTTGCATTGTTGACAAACGTATTCATGATCTGGGTTCATTGCAAATTGGTATCAGAGAAGATCTCCTGAATACGGTGGTGACAGGCGCCAGGTGGTGCACAGGTAAGTGTGGTGCACACACATATATAGTAGGTGATGACGTGGATGGAGACATGACGAGATATCTGACGTGGCACAGATTGGCGAGAAGACATCTCCGTGGATGCTGACGTGACTCTGTCTTCATTGGCAAGAAGGCAACACCGGGGATACTGACGAAGTACGGCTAGAAGACCCTACCTGGTTGCTGACGTGGCGGTAGGGATCGCAATTGGAGATACCTCCGTTCAGCCTGGATCGCGATGCTGACGTGGCATATGTTGTGCCACGTCCGGGGACCTTGTTGTTGATTGTTGACAGGGCACGTTATGTGCTGCTGGCGCGCGACAGGGTCCATTGCAGAAGCTGACGTGGCCTTGCAGGAAAGAGTTTTTGGTTGCTGATGTGGCAGAGAGCAAGACATTCCAACCTGTCTTTATGAAGGGATGTCTGCCTGCTGACGTGGCATCATTTCCTGTGGCTGACGTGGCATGTACTGATTGGCTCAAACAGTGATGGTGTCTCAACGTGACGCGACCAAGAGGAACGTGACAAGTATCAGGATACACACTTGCTGATGTGTCATCCCCCTATTGGTAGACTGGACAGACAATGTGCTGACGTGGCAAGACTTGCTGTGTTGGCACTCCAGGGGTGACACGTGGCAGGCAGGACTGCTGCTAAGGAAGAAGGGCACTCCGAAGACTACGACGGTACGGCTGACAGAGTTGATTATACAGTTGTAGTGCAAGCTGTCCGGGAGAGTGCATCATCGCACTGACACTCAGAAGACACAGCGAATTGATAAGGAGTGCTAACGAACTGTTTTGTGTTGTTGTTGGCATACTTACCTGTCGTGGCTGTGTGTGGAGCTGCGTACTTACTTGTGTGTTGTGTCTGATCACACGGGCCTGACGTAGTACCTGTACATAGGACGTCATCACACAGACAAGGAAAGAACAGCAGTTAGAAAAGTAAACCTGTTCTCTGTTATTATTTCCTTTCTTTTTTTTTGTATTCCCGTTGTGAATATCTTCTCCACTTTTATTTCCAGAATGTTTGGCATTTGGAAGATACTCTTGCTTCTCTTTCCTATGGCTCTATTCTCGGGTGAGGGAACCTCAGACCCAAAGACTCGGAGACAGGCAGAGGAAAGAAAGCAAGAACTTCTAGCACTATGGAACCAGCTGTTGAAAGATCTGCGTCTGTCTGAACCCGAAGCCGAAAATCACGTCCGCAATCTGTTTGACTTGCAGACGGTAGAGGACCGTCTAAAGCAAGCAGTTGCGGGCGCGGAGGTCGCGACTGCCGGGATTGAAGTCACGAAAATGATAGGCAAGTGCCGTCAGACACTGGATCAGTTCACAATCAAACAGTTGGAATCTGTAATGGAGATGACAAGGAAGGGGAAATTAGACCCGAAGTAACCGAGGCCACTATTGATGCTAACATTCAGCAACTACGAGATACATTGGCTGCTGAAGGGAAGAAGAAAGAAGAGTTAGTCCGGAGAAGAGAACATGAATCCAGAAGGGAACAAAAGGTTAAAGAAATCAGACAGGTTATAGGAACAGATGTTAAGGAAGAAGGAGATCTGACACAGACTTTATATCACATCATGACTTACCTCTCTTTCCTCGAAGGAAAAATTGAGCTTCGGGTCTAATTTCTGTCAGACTGAGAACCATTACAAACATTGTAAAAGGGAAGACTCAGGTAACAAAAGAAGAGGTTGAGGTTGAAGAGGAAGACAAGAAAGAAAAGAAACCGAAATTAATGAGTGATGCTATGAAGTCTGTCGTTCCGAAAGAAAAGACTAAAGAGGGGAAATCGTCTAACGGGGGGGAACCGAATACTCCTCCTCCTTCCCCTTCTTTCATTCCTCCTAACTCTCCACCTCCGAGTTCTCCTAAAGGTAAGAAAAACGCGGAGCCTGAAAAACCCAAGAAGAAGGAGAAAGTGAAAATGAAAATGCCTTTTACGTTCTGCAACAAAAAGGATGAAAATCTGTTGCTATGGATTGCCGAGATACAGACATACTGTAAGACGTCCCCAGTCGAGCCTGATTCTCAGGTTGCGTTTTCTACTTCATGTTTGGGTGGGGAAGCAAAAGAATGGGTATTGGCTGAGGCTAATGCCGCAG